CAAAGCTCTTCTCTCCCCTTTCCTCTACTGAGTCCTGCAGATTTGGTGAGTGATTATCAGTGATGATAGTGATGTTTGATGACCACATTGTGCAAACTTTTCACTCTCTTTATGCCGAATTGCAAATTACATTTAATAAAGGCTCTAGCCTGCATGAAATATGAACTGCTTGATTTTGGCCCTGAAGAGTGCAATGCAAACAGTGTTTCAGTACCACAGACAGCACTCCTCTCCACTCTACTAATGTTCGGCAGTGACGCCTCAGTCTTGTGCAGTAAATGAAATCTATTTCACGACTGTCCAATGTCTGACAGAGGGCTGTGGCCATTTCTTTAGGCTAAATGAGACCGGTCATTCTCTGTTTTTTTCACTACCTCGATCCTTTTCATTTTCCCCCCCTCTCCTCTTTCTTATACAAATGCTCACTTTTGTTATTTCTGAATGTGACGGTGCTCTCTATGCTTGTCAAAGCTCTTCTCTCCCCTTTCCTCTACTGAGTCCTGCAGATTTGGTGAGTGATTATCAGTGATGATAGTGATGTTTGATGACCACATTGTGCAAACTTTTCACTCTCTTTATGCCGAATTGCAAATTACATTTAATAAAGGCTCTAGCCTGCATGAAATATGAACTGCTTGATTTTGGCCCTGAAGAGTGCAATGCAAACAGTGTTTCAGTACCACAGACAGCACTCCTCTCCACTCTACTAATGTTCAGCAGTGACGCCTCAGTCTTGTGCAGTAAATGAAATCTATGCCCTATTTTTCTGTGAAATAGAGTAAGGTTTTGTCATTTTGACCGACATTCAGTCAGTTAGTCAGTGTTTACCCCTTTTTTATAGGTTATTGACATGGATGTGGAAAGAATAATTAATAAGGTACCATTGTAGTTCATTTTTGTTGAGGTTTGATCATTCAGCACTTTCAGCAGGAGAAGAATACAGATTAAATGGGACACTTAAACATAATCATTTGTATCAGTATTTCTATATTCTTACTTAGTGGTGATTTTTGCATTGAAACAGTATACAAAATATGAAAAATTTGAAATGTCTCTACTTCATCAGTTGGCCCACCTGTATTCACTCTATTAAATAAATAATATAATATAATATAATATAATATAAAACAAAATGTATGAAATGAGATGTATATTATATTGTATTATAAATATAATATAATTTATATAAATAAAATAATTTTAATTATATATTATTGTATATACGCTACTGTTGAAAAGTATAAAAAATTCAAAAAGTGAAGAGAGAGTAAAGCATTTAGTCACAAAAGATTTCTATTTCAAATAAATGCTGTTCCTTTGAACAAAAGTATTAATCAGTACAAATTCTTGTCAACATTGATAATAATAACAATATTATTATCTTATATAATAAGAAGAAATGTATCTTGATCACTAAATCAGCATATTACATTGATTTATGAAGGTTTATGTGACACTGAAGACTGGAATAATGGTTACTGAAAATTCAGCTTTGCCATTGCAGGAATAAATTGGATTTTAAAATATATTAAAATAAAAAACACATTTTAAATTGTAATAATATTTCACCATAGATTTTTTTACTGTATTTTTGATCAAATAAATGAAGCCTTGGTGAGCAAAATTGCTTTTTTCAAAAACATTTTTCATACATATGCATTTTATATCTAATACATGTATTAATTTTAATGTTAATATGGCCTAACTATTAGTGCAAACAGTTGTTGTTGACACCATCACAGGTTGCTGGAGTCATCGAAGGGGTTGGCGATGACTGAGTTATGAATGAGGATGAAGAGAGGCAGATGAGCGAGGAAGTCGAGAAGATCGAGGGAGCGCAAATTGCGAAGTTCCCGTTTCACCGACGCCTCATGCTCAGGTCTGATGCCCCCTGCCTTGAGCTCCACTAGGAGTTGCTCTGCCCCAATGCAGCCCTCTGGCACCACAGCACTCCCTGTTTGGGCCTCAAGCAAGAACAGGAACAACTGCTGTAGAACAAGCACACATACTCAGGTTAGTACCAATGAATGTAATATCCATTCTTGTGACACTTTATTACATTAGCCAATTCAATATGTATGTGTATATATATATATATATACAGTCTAGTTTAGGCTTTTTTCAGGCTTTAACTTGTGGTACACAGCAACATCATTCCATACATATAACCCTCCATCCACATGTACAAATCCCTTGTGAATACATTCATTTGGCCCCAGTCATCACCTATTGCACACTTCTAGATAGTCAGGGCACTGATGTCGGTATAACCTGTGTGTTTGTATGTGCGCATGAAAGTGTGTGCTCCGTTCACACGTGTGCCTGAGGGGGCTCAAGTTACAGCGGCCTTTTCCTACTCTTCTGTGAGCGCACCTGTTTGCACAGTTAAATGCATCCGAGGTAATGACTAAAAGTGAGTGTGTATGTGTGTGTGTCCTGTAATCCCCTGGCAAAGCACCCACTCCTCTCTCCTCTCACTCGATAACAATTCAAGCCCAGCTCACTCTGTAATTAGCCTCCCCTCTCCACCTAACCCCAAGACCAGGCAGGGGCTCAGTTTCCCCAACCTCTGCCATCAACTTTTAAGTCTTCATGCTTTTCAGAAGTCGGCCCTCTCTGTTCAATGCATGGGCCTGGTTGGGTCTTGCTACTGAATGGCCACCTTATACCTCTGCTTTATTCGAGATGAGCAGTATGTCTTTGCCTGATTACAGAGCACGCTGCACTGGATGTACACTGCCGGCCACTTTAATGAGATTACAGCCTGTAATCCATGAATACGAGGGAGGGGGAAGGCTGAAGGAAAAATGAGAGAAAATCCCATTTCTCTTTTTTACTTCGGCTCTCAATTAACATGCAAGGTGCTTGACGGAAACAGCTAGTTTTACTAAGCCCGTGTTTGAGTTTGCCTTTAAAGTGTTTTATGGTCTCTATTTCACTGTAATTAGTCCCTACTGAGAGAGGGAGAGGGAGAGGGAGAAAGAGGGACAGAATTGCCAAATGATCAGGAACAGTTTGCTGGCGAGTATGACAGATGTTCATTTTTTACACAAAATACCATTAGCATTGATAGAAAACAAACCTTGGCTTTATAAAGCTTCATCTCCAGAGATCTGAAATCCATCTTGCTGATGAGGGAGCGCATGAAATCACTGTGAATTAAAAGAGAAGTCTCTGAAATTTCTGTATACTAATGTTTGATCAAATAATAATAATAATAATAATAATAATAGAAAAAATTTGCTCATTATAGCCTGTCCCCTAAAACAATGATCTCAGACACAAGGCCAACCCGCCACTATAACGGATAAAAAAAAACCTGCCCCAGTATGAGGAGGGTGTTTAGGGGACACGCTCTGGAGAAATGTGACCAACACACACCTATACAAATATACACTTGCACGCGCACACACTGGGATAATTGCTCGGAGGCAACGACTATTCAGTCGGGACAGAGCTCCACTGTCCAGCGTGTGGCACAGCGATGGTGATCCCCCTTGCTAACGAGCCCCTCCGTTCAGAAAAGCATGCTGGGAGGAGAATAGCTGCTGGTACGCCACCCTCAGACTAACCGCTATTGGCCCATTCGCCTGGGATGGTGGTGAGGCAGGGGGTTTGATGGGAATGAGGGGAGACAGGCCAGCTAATGATCATTAATTGCACTTGGTTTGCAGAAAAAGAGCTCAAACTGCAGCGTGGATAATAGCCGGGGCAACGGAGAGCACGCCAGAGACAGACAGGAGGATAATAGCAGCTCTAACCTATTTCTGTTGTTGCGCCCCATCACCGTGGACCTCACGCTTACATAATTGCCAAAGTTTTGGAGGTTCTGGCAGGGGGGTTGCAAGATATGGTTGAATTTTTGGAAGGGAGGGGGGCAGATGGGTGACCCATTTAAAGTTTGGGTGGATGGAGTTGTTTTGACAAGCTGGTTTTGGCGGTAAGTGTGTTTATCAGAGACTGCATAAAGAGGTCGTTTCAGGTTTCCCTCCTTTTTTTTCATTTTGTAATGGTGCAGTGAGTCACGCAGTTGAACTAGTCCAATTAAGCCATAGATTTACTGTTCTCGTCGCTGGAACCGAACCTGTGGACAGCTCAGGCCACACGCAGCCCACCCAGGACATTTGTACCTATGCTTCCAACACACACAGGTCGAGGAAAACACTATGTTTTGAGGGTGCACTGCTCATATCAACCTCTGTATGGAAACGCGGTGGTTAATCACATGACCAGCTCTGAGAGAAAGTGCCAAAGCACAGACAGATGGCAAAAGGTAGCAGGAGATACTTTGAACAGGCATTCAAGGCACTGGATTTTGTCGTTCTATTAGGGTTATGCCCACAGTAATGAGTGAATATGGGTGTATATCAGCTACTGAATGGGATCAAATCCATATCAGGGTTCAGAAGAGGTTGATGGAAAAGGTTAAAGCACATAAATGTCCCTATTGTGTCCATTCCAAAGAAACACCCTTGTTCCTTTTAGTTTCATTTGTCCACTAATGCAGGGAAAAAGCATCACTCACACACTCAAAGAGCAATGCCGTAAATCAGCAAAGAGGCGTGACCCCAAATCCCCTCGCACACATAACCCAGGAAACCCAGAATGGGCCCCTGCGTTGAGTGGAAGCTGTTAAAGATCCTAAAAAAGTGAGCAGGAATGAAAGAGCCTGTGTGTGGGAATCTCTGGCATATGGGCTGTAATGTAGCATCACAGCCAAATGCCCCCAAAACCTCATCACAGTAATGGACTTCAAGACTACACACGACCGCCCAGGCTGTCATGGGTTACCCTCCAATCGCATGTCTCTGGTGTGCAAGCGCATGCCCTTGTATTTTTGTACAATCGAATGGTACAGATGCTACAAAAGGATATACAAATTTTCGGTCCTACACACACAAACATTCATGAACTGGCCCTGAATATTTATAGAAGGTCAGTGACTCCTCTTCTATTGCTATTGTGTATGTTAAATACTTGGCCTGCTGACTCACTCTAGTGTGACTATTTTCTGGGCCAAACTGGCCACTACAGCAAACAGGCGCAGATCCGTAAGGCCTTCTGTCACTCTGAAATCAACCAGCTCCAGAATCTGAGAATAGATCATATACATATTTAAACAAGTAAATACATCTTTAAATTTAGACATTATACAATAATATATAAAACATATAATAATAACAATAACAACAAATAATGAATGTAATAATTAATAATCAGCTAATTAATAAATAAATCAGTTGTAATTTTTATTATTTATATAGGCTATATTTTTTAAAGATAAATACAAGCATAAATTCTACCATTCATGGCAGTATAATTCATTAAATCAAAATGATCAAACGATGCAGAAAAGTCCTAAAACCAGGTTTATATGCAGATGAATCGTATTTACTCGGCCCTGCAATTCCACTGGACAAAATTGTGTTCGACACAGATTTTTTTGAGTGCGTTTGCGCTGTTACCTAATTTGCATGATTCCTTTAGTGAATCGGGTGCTAAAACAACACAGACAGTACATGCAAATAAACGCCACTTTCAGCGGGCACAAATCATTCTTAGTGAATTGCCTCCAGGCATTGTGATAAAAAAGAGAGACGGGCAGATCATATATTTTTCTGTGAAGGCAGCGTTTACCCTGTACACATATATTTCCTCTTCTTCAGTCAGAAGTTCTGGGGGAATGATCTCTTTCAGTGCCAGCAGCACTTGGAGACAGCTCAGATAACCATCTCCATCTCTATCAGCCTGCAGGCACAAAGTAGTACAGTCAGAGTCAATGACAGTTAAGTGATTACTGTCATTACCAACATATGAAAATGAACAAAACCGTTCTTTTTTATGAGGAAATTGTGGAATTTTCTTTTACTCACGGCCTCAAAAGCCCTTTTGTACACTGACAGCTTCTCCTGACTGAGGATGCAGTACTTTGCCAGAAAATCAACTACAAAAAAAATAAAAATAAAACACACTCAAAGGTATTAAAAGTAGGTTACACTTTACAATAGGGCTGTATACATTAACAATAATTAACACAATAGTTAATGTGAACTATGACACATATACAGCATTTGTACATATTAATGAATTATATTATTTACAATTAATTAATTTTTAGCAATAGATAAAATAAGAAAGAACCTATATTAGTACCTAGTAGTATACTAGTAGTATTAGTAGTAGTATATATACTATATTAGTATATTAGTACGATACCTATATTAGTGTCACAAAAAAGTGCATAGATGTAAGGTGGATTAACCATGGTATGAATAGTTTTCTAGAGTGAAAAGAAAATAGAGTGAGAGTCCAATAAAGATTGTGATTTAAATACAGTATGTGAGTCAGAACTATTACAATCTACTACAGATGTACACTTCTATTTAAAAGTTTGGGGTCGATAAGAACTTTTGTCTCTTATACTCTCCAAGGCTGCATTTATTTGATCAAAAATACAGTAAAAATATGATCCTTTGGAAATGATTCTAATATGCTGATTTGCTGTTCGAGATACATTTCTTATTATCAATGTTGAAAACAGGTGTGCTGCTTAATATTTTTGTGGAAACCGTGCTACATTTTTTTTTTAAATTTCAGGATTCTTTGATGAATAAAAAGTTACAAAAATAAATAAATAACAGAATTTATTTGAAATAGAAATCTTTTGTAACACTGTAAAAGTCTTTAATGTCATTTTTGATCAATTTAATTCATTCTGACTGACCAAAAGTATCAATTTCTTTCAAAAAAACTAAAATCTTACTGACCACAGACTTTTGAACAGTAGTGCATGTGGCCTAAAGAACAACACAGAAAAGCTAAACCATGTATATTACTATTTACGATACATTAAAATGAAACCAATCACATTTAATGAATCTTTAAGTACAGGGAGAGGCAGAAAATCAAGCATTTGGCCTCAGAGGAACAGACAGATGGGAATGAACACTAAGATGAGTTAGGAAAAGAGGATCAGAGCAGAAAAGTTAAAAAGAAAAAGATGGAAAGGGGAGGAAAGGAAGCTGTGGAGACCTCATTTAAGCTGCTGCCACTCCAATACATGAAACGAACAAGAATGATAGACAGAATCCACTGAATAATGGATCCATTCATCAGCGAGGCAGAAGAATAGGGAGGAAAGAGTTGATATCAGTGTGGATTTAAAGCACTGGGCCCAATGAGCTGCGGCCTGCTCACAGGGGGCCGATTCAATCTGCCATTTATCAGCTTACCCCTAATCAAACCCAGGCCTTGCATGGCTTCTCCCATTCACATGCAAAGTGTAACATTCGCATGTAGTCAACTTGACTTGTTAAAGCCTGATTGATCAAAACCTCTCGGTCCAGGGACGCACATCTGTTTGCAAATAACTGCGGCTGGCAGGAGCTGTGGTGTCTCCCTGGTCCCTCAGCAGCGCTTGGAATTAGCTTCAAATCTGAAACAGTGATCTGTTCGGATCATTGAACTGATCTGTATTCACTGACTTTCTCTTTATCTGCACTCATCTGTCTCAGATGCTCCCAAGACACTGAATCTGCCGTCCCAGTCCTGCTGCCACTGTCTGGATCTGATCTGACTGGGCTGCACATGTGTATTCATCTGGTTTCTCACAATATGAGATGTGCATCCAGGACACTCACACTTGAGAATTGTATTCTCTATGTCTAGTAATGCCATGTCTGGCTCATGAAAAATGCATAGAGGATGCAGCATGCTCACAACATGTACAAGTAGTTCAGCAGGTTTGAATGTGGCATGTCCCAGCCCTGTTTCCCCTCTTTGCCCTATAGTTTCCTCTTTATCTTAATTTAGACTTGTTTTCCAGTAAAAATATAAAAGCATATTTAAAACAAGAAAACTTGATTACAGATAAAATGTATTTTATTTATTTATTTATTTTCCAGTTTAAATTTTTTGTTAAGCTTAAACTTATTTAACTTAAACTTTATTTATTTATTTGCTTATTTTATAAATGTAAACTTTATATAAAATTACATTATTTATTTATCTTTTTGGTATTTTGTTAGGCTTAAGCTTTATTTATTTATTTGCTCATTTTATATTGTTTTCTTTAAGCATAAACCTAATTTATTTATTTGTGTATTTATTTATTTATTTACTTTGCAAGTTCACATTTTTGTTAAGCTTAAACTTAATTAATTTATTTATTTGCTTATTTTAAAAAATCAAAGCATAAACCTTATTTATTTACTTGCATATTAAAACAAATATTTTTTTCTTTTTTCTTTAAGTAAAAACCTAATTCATTCATTCATTCATTCATAATGTCTTTTTTAGAATTAACGTCACAGACTTTTTGTTAGATTCATGCTTATAACAAGAAAAAAAATATTTTTTCAATGAGGCAAGAAAAATAAACAGATGATATTCTTTATAAATAAATCTTAATGTAGTCTAAAAGTATGATCTTATTTATTTAAATAACTAAAAAACAAGATAAAGCACTTCGAGTGCTTTGTCAAGAATTTAGTTTTTATAATCAGCATATTGATAAAGTGACCTTACAGTCTGGTTAAAAATAAAAATCATGTTTTGCAATATTTTTGTAGGTGTATCAGTTATCATCTTTCTCACTTAGTAAAATATTAAGCCTGTATCTCGGGACTATTTACGCCTGCACTACTTTCTGCCTTTCTGTAGCTGGACCAAATCCCTTATTTTACCTCCTCCCGAGGCCTTTGAACTTCGCTATAGTGCTCTGTTAAACTCCACCATAGATATCTCTTAGACCGCGTCCCATCTCAGGCCACCGGTCCACTCGGGGATTTGTGGCTGATGGTGTGTGTGTGTGTGTGTGTGTGCGTATGTTTTGGGGGGGCTCTGTGCCATGGAATCAAGGGAACAAAAGGTGCAGTGGAGTGAGAGATTGAGGGAGGAAGCACAGGCAAACGTGCGGGAAGGGGGATGGAGGGGGCACAAAGCTCCTGGGCTAACGCCTCCCGCCTGATAACCTTATCTGATTCTGCTTCAGCGGCTGATGGCTTTTTTTCCACCGTGGGCTTTCGTGCACACAGGTTGGGCCCTTTGGTGTGAAGCCTAGCAGAAAATGTTAATCAAGAGAAGAAGTCTTAAAAAAAGAGGTGGAGAGAGAGAGACAGAAAGAGAGACTGCAAGAACAGAACTTCTCTCATAATCTGTAATGGGAGTGACGGCAATTCAGTAGCAAATAGAAGCCCGAGAAAAAGGGAATTGTCACAGAGGTGACGTGCACCCCGTCAAACACATTTGCACGTTCATGCTTTGTTGCTCTCTTTTTTTCGACAGAGTCACTCCTCTATGAGGGCTGACGGCCTCAAGCCGGTATCATTCTATCCAAAAGGCTGAAGACGCAATAGAAAACTACAGTCACATCCCATTTAACACTCACTCTTCAGGGCAGAACTTCACAGCTGTGTCACTGCAATGCATTGATTGCACGTCCTTTCACGTCTGTAGCCAATGAATAATGGATGTTCATTTTTGCTATTCTGTATACGGTTATTTCTTACTGTCTTAGAAAGTATAGTTTTTTTTCTTCTTTTCAGGTTAAATACATTTGTCATGAAAACGGATGATGCACCGTTCTGCCACACATACAAGCACCCACTCCCACTCAAAAATAACACTATTATTCATATACAGAGACTCATTGTGCTTTATTGGGGACGTTTTGTACCCGTGTTTGTTTGTGTCCATATTTAATCCTGTAGCTTTGTTTATGTTCATCATCATTCAGATAGAACCCCTTACATAAATTAGTCTGCAGACTATGACCTCTTTTCTCAGATTGGGGTCATTCTACATACAGTATATGTCAAAGCATGACAGTAGCTATTAAAAGCGTATGTGTTGAACGCAGTAACGGTCAAACCAAGAAAATTGAGTTTTTCTTCAACTATACGAGCACTTTTATGTTCTGGGGTTGATTATTATTAAAACAATCTTTTCTTCTTTTTGCTATATGAAAAAATTCCCTTTTTTGTATAGATTTTGTTTTATCCTTGTTCCAGACACAGACATTAGATGATAAAAATCCATCTTAAAAATATGAATTATTACTTTAATTAAAAAAATTAATATAAAATGATTTACCAATTTTTACACAAATAAATTTTGGCATCATTTCTATCATGTCCAATAATTATGGCCCTATAAAGTTTTATGAATTGGAAACTGTCAGCAGATTGTGTCACTTTTATTATGTCCTTTTTTAATCAAGCTCTAATTCTGTCAAATGTAAAATTGCAATGATGCAAAAAATTAGAAAATATTATTTAATTGTATGCATTTAAGATGAAGAAAATGCTATGAAATTAGCCATTGCAAATTATATCCTTTTTTTTTTTTTTTCAAAAAACAAACAAACAAACAAACAAAAAAATTCCACTAGAATGCTATTAAACAATAATTAGAAATGTGGTGGGAATGACATTGCAGTGGAAATGTTCATGAAATAAAATGACAAATGCTGCATTTATGCATGTATGTCCAGTGTTGGCCTTTAGTTTATTTTCTAGAAATCCAAAGAGTTGAAAGCACCCATAGATGAAGAAAAACCCAAATGTTTTGCTGCATCTTTAACACTTAATGGTTTCCAAACATAGGCTGGCTTTTGGTCCTAATAGGGTTTCACATTTGTGGGAGTAAAAACTTGAAAACTAAATAAAAGATTTGCAGTTTCATTGAACTTTCATGTCTGATCTTGAAGAGTATGAGGCCCTAAAAGCATTTGGACACTTGAGACACACTTCAAAATGTATGAATGTGATTGCATTGGTTAAAAATATCAAACTAAAATGGAATTCACAGTATTTAAAAGAAATATACCACAAACAAATCTTTCAAACACAAGATTCAAATTAAATTGGTTAGGTTTAAGTTTCAAATGAAGTTTCACACACACACACACACACACACACACACACACTCATTTTGTCTTCATTTGGGACAATATAAATATGTATTAGGACACTTTTTGTTTGTAAGGTGTTACTGAAACATGT